CAGCCGGTGTTACAGCAGCAGCAGCAGCAGCCGGTGTTACAGCCGCAGCAGCCGCAGCAATTGGACTGGTCGCACGCTGCTGCTGCTGCTGCTGCTGCAGTTGCCGCTGCTGCTGCTGCTGCCCCTCAGGCTCCTGTGGTGACGCAGCAGCCCCCGCATTATATCCTGCGTGGAGGTAAGCCTGCTGCTGTTTTACTGCTGCTGCTGCTGCTGCTATTTTTGTTGCTGCTTTGTTGTCCTTTCTACTCTAACTACGCTTCCGGCAGCATCCTGCGCTGCTGCTGCTGCTGCTGATGTAGCTGCTGCTGCTGATGTAGCTGCTGCTCTAGTTGCTGCGGCTTTAAGAACTTACCCTCTGGGAAGCAGCAGCAGCAGCAGCAGCCGTAGATCGCAGTTGCTTGTGCTGCTGCATGAGCAAGCTGGCAGCACGTGCCGCTCTAGGGAGTCTCCTGAGCCTGTTGTTGCAATTGCTGCTGCTGCTGTTGCTGTTGCTGTTGCTGCTGCTGCTGCTGCTGCTGCTGCAGGTGATTGGCTGTGGGCAGCTAAGGAGTCGATCTGTACGTTCATTCCTTGCGGCTCTCCGCTGCTGCCTCCACCTGTTCGTGCGCCGACTTCAGCAGCAGCAGCAACAGCAGCAGCAGCAACAGCAGGGGAGCAGCAGCAGCAGCAGCAGCAGCAGCAGCAGCCTCGGCAGCTGTCTTTCTTGGAGTTATACCCAAAGGAGCAGAGGCCTCCTCTTTACTTCTCTCCTGCTGCAGTGCTGCAGCAAGCCAGCATTGAGGCAGAGGATATGCAGCAGCTGCTGCACGCAAATTACTTACCCTTCTTTGGTGCTATTGAAGATGCTGCTGCTGCTGCTGCTGCGTTTGCTGCTGTCGATGCTGCTGCAGCACGTGCTGCTGCTAGCAAACAAAGGAGACAGGCAGCAGGAGACACATTTGTAGCTCCTGAAGCTTCTGCTGCTCTTGCTGCTGCTGAGCTCTGCTGCAGAGCTGTCCTAGACGCGAACCTACACCCCTGTTCTCCTTCCCGCAGCAGCAGCAGCAGCAGCAGCAGCAGCAGCAGCAGCAGCGGCAGCAGGAGTTGGGGCTTTGCATTTGGTGGCAGCGTTGCTGGAGACCTGAGGAAGAGACAGCAGCATCTTTCTGCTGCGTGGCTTACGTACACACGAAGCGTCCGTTTGCTGCTGCAACAGCACTTGCTTCCGCCGGCGCAGCAGCAGCAGCAGCAGCAGCAGCAGCAGCAGCGTGACGTTGCAGGTCGCTCAAGTGGTGGTGGTGCTGCTGCTGCTGCATGCATCTTCTGGGGCAGCTGCTTTCAGACGTCTGCAGGGGTTTTTGCTGCTGAGGTTTTGTCTCCTCTGTGTCTGCTCCGCGCTCAAGAGACGCAAGACAGCAAAGGAGCAGCAGCAGCAGCTGCTGCTGCTGCTTCTCTGAGACTCTCGGGGGCTGCGAGCGTTGCATGCACAGCAAAAAAATGCAGAGGGTTGTGCTGCTTTAGTATAGACAGCTGGCGATTGCTGCTGGAGTGGGAAGGACGCCTGCTGCAGCAGCTGCAGCAGCAGCAGCAGCTGCAGCAGCGGCTGCTGCTGCTCCGAGTGGGGGGTGGTTGTCTGATGAAGAGACAAAACAGAGACAGAGACATCAAGGAGACCGAAGACAATCTTCCTCGCAGCATTCTTGTTTTACCTCCTCTTCAGGTGCCGTGCAGTACCTGCTGCTCGCAGCAGCTACAGAACCCGCGCTGCAATGCAGCAGCAGCAGCAGCAGCAGCAGCAGCAGGACAGCTGCAGCAGGAGACAGCTGGCACGCAGGTGCTGGGGGGCTTTACTGCAGCAGAGGAGACAGCAGAAGAAGATGAGATTGAAGATGCTTAGCAGCCCCTCAGCTAAAGAGCTGCATATACACCGGAAGCTGCACAAATTGCTTTTGTATGCAAATTGCTGCGGTGTATAGGCATCTCAGCCCCCCATCATCTCCGCAGTGTGTGCAGTTTATCTATTTCTTTGCTTTGCCTCTAAAACCGCTATTCATACAATTGCATTATCCTTTCACCTCTTATTAGTCTTGTTCGTAGCCCCTTGCAGCAGCAGCAGCAGTAGCAGCAACAGCAGCAGGCGCAGAGGGAGCAGCAGAAGGAGCAGAAGCAGCTGTAGCAGCACCAATAGTAGCAGCACCAGGAGCAGCAGCAGCAGCAGCATTAGCAGCGCCAGGAGAAGCAGCAGCAGCAGTAGCAGTAGCAGCAGCAGAGCAGTAGCAGCAGCAGCAGCAGCAAACCCAGTGCGTACTCGAGCCGTTTCGATGCCTTCAGGTTTTTTGTCTTTAAAGCGGGTGGCATGCAGACAAACAAATTAATAAAAATAAATACATCAACAGCAAACGCTAAAACAAACTAAAAACTCAGTGCAGCACAACAATACACAAAGGCCCCCTAAAGGGCCCCCTAGGGCTCCCAGGTGTCTCCAAGGGGCCCCCAGGTGTCTCCAAGGGGCCCCCAGGTGTCTGCTAGGGGCCCCCAAGTGAATGTGAAGGGGCCCTTTGGGGGCCCCATCGTCGTTGGGGTGTGGGGGCCCCCCAAGCGATTGTGCAGAGACACTTGGGGGGGGCCCCTTCTCTATTTAATGGAGGCCCTTGGGGGCCCCCGGGGCCCCCAAGGAGTCCATTGGGGGCCCCAGGGGCCCCTGGGGGCCCCGTGGGGGCCCCTGGAGGCCCTCATTAGAAGAGGAGAAGGGTTTATTGTGATTGAAGTAGAGTGCGAATGATGAATGAATAAATAAATAAATTAGAGACAGCAAAAGAAATAGCAAAATGTGTTCAGGGGGCAGAGACAGCTGCCATTGCGCGCTCCCGCATGTCTTCAGTCACCTGCATGCAGCAGCAGCAGAAGAAGAAGCAGAAGCAGAAGCAGCAGCAGCAGCAGCAGCAGCAGCAAGAGCAACAGCAGCAGCAGCAGCAGCAACAGCTGCTTTATCAACTCTCTGAAGGTGTGCAACATAAGAAAATAAACAGGGCCTCAGATGCCTTTATGCTGCTTTCCAGCTAATACAACCATGCTTCTAAGCTAGCTAGCTAGCTAATTATCGGGCTAGCTAGTCAGCCAGCTAGCTAGCTAGCCAGCTAGCTAGCCAGCTACGTAGGTAGGTAGCTAGCTAGCTAGCTGTTGCTGCTGTAAAGCTCACAGTCTCCCCGTCAAGTGTAGTAAGCTTAGGGAGGCGCCTCAACATGCTGCAGCGAATTTCCTCCTGCAGCAGCAGCAGCAGCACCAGCAACAGCAGCAGCAACAACAGTAGCATCCACATGAGCAGCAGGAGCAGGAGCAACAGCAACAGCAGCAGCAGCAGCTGCTGCTGCTGCACTATCAGAAGCTGCAGCAGAGTCTGAGTTTGTGTGTGTCTGTGTCTGTAGATTGCTGCTGCTGTGGTGTCTAGAGTTAAATTGTTTAATATATTTGCTGCTATTTGCTGCTCTTACTGCTGAGGCGCAGCTTTCATAGACAGGATTTGCTCGAAACAATACATTCACCAGACAAGGAAGGGTCGCCTGATATAAACAATATAATAATAATAATAATAATAATATTATTATTATTATTATTATTAAGTTATAATGCAATGAACGAGAGAAGAGTAGGAGAACATAGTTACAGCAGCAGCAGCAATTGGAGCAGCTACAGCAGCAGCAGCAACAACAGCAATTGCAGAAGCAACAGGAACAGTAGCAGCAACAACAACAAGAGCATGACCAGAAGCAGCAGGAAAGGCTGCAGCAGCAGCAGCAGGAACAGGAACAGCAACAGCAACAAAAGCAGGAGTAGGATGCGAAACAGAAACAGAAGCAGCAGCAACAGCAGCAACAGCAGCAGCAACAGCAGTATTACTAATGCTGTTTTTGCTGCTTCTGCAATGTTTCTGCTGCTGCTGCTTCATTACCGGTGCTGATGCTGCATTGTTGTTGCTGCTGCTGTTGCTGCTGCTGTTGCAGCAGCAGCAGCAGCAGCAGCAGCAGCAGCAGCAGCAGCAGCAGCAGCAGCAGCAGCAGCAGCAGGCATATGGATCGCACCAGTTTTTCGATTTCTTCCCAGGACTTGACTTTATTATTTGACATAAACAAAACCTGCAGCTTAACGCAGGGCTGCAAACCGTCTAATTTTTCTATTTGATTGTAAGACAGCCACAGCTCTCTCAGCGTACACCCCACATCTTCAAGCCCCCCTATCTTCTTTATTGCGTTTCGGCCTAATGATAGTATCTCCAGGTTCTCTGAAATAGCAGCAGCAGCAGCAGCAGCAGCAGGGACAGCAGCAGGAACAGGAAGACAACCAGCAGGAAATGCAACAGGAGGAACGGTAGTAGCAGCAACAGCAAATGCGCAGTAGCAGCAGCAGCAGAAGCAAAGTAGCAGTAGCAGCAGCAGCAGAAACAGCAGCAGCAACAGCAGCAGCTTGAAGCTGCATCCGTTTAGCCCGAACGAGTTCAAAATAAATACAAACTGCAAACAGTTTGTCTGCTTTTTGTCTCTGTCTCTTCTGCTGCTGTCTCTGTCTGTCTCTTGCTGCTGTCTCTCTCTGTCTCTTTTGCAGCTGTCTCTCTCTGTCTCTTCTGCTGCTGTCTCTCTCTGTCTCTTTTGCTGCTGTCTCTCCTGGAAGCTATTTTTGTTTTTGTTGGTTTTCTTTAATTCATTGTCTGTCTCCTCTTCTCCCTTTACTTTCTTCTGCTGGCCCTAATACTAAATAACACTAAACCCTAATAATAACTCTAATGCCCCCAAACCCTAATATTCGTAATAAACCCTAAACCCTAATAATCCTGATGACCATGAACCCTAGTAAGATTAGCCCTAATAACCCTAAACCCTAATTCTACTACCCTATATATAACTCTTTAAAACCCTATACCCTAAACCCTAAACCCTAAACCCTAAACTCTAAACCCTTGAGCCTCACTGAGGTTAGCGAGATTTGCAATCTTTTCAATTGCGTTTGTTGAGAGAGAAAGTTTTTTACAAGCCACAAGAGACCCCAAGGCAGCATCCATCTTCTCTAGAGGTGGGAGCTGAGCTATAAGGCGAACCTCCTCGGCCTCAGCAGCAACTCGGCCTAACACAAACTCTCAACCCTAATATGCTAATGGTGCTGGGATCGGGATCGGGATCGTTATTGGGATCGGGATCGTTATTGGGATCGGGATCGTTGGCCTCTGGGATCGAAGGAGGTCACTTGCCTGTTTTTTCTTCAAAAAGTTGAATAGCTTTAAGACAGGAAGTGCCGGCCTTCGCCATTTTTTATTTTGTTGCTATTTCTATTACCTCAATCTTTTTTTTGTCTTCTTCTCTTTTACTTCTCTCTCTACAGCCTCCCTTGAGGCTAATGAAAGGGCCCCTGTACGGCCTATTGGCAGCTCTGCTTATGTCTGTATTCAACTATAATGCAAGCAAACACTCTTAATATTAAAATATTATCTGTAATAAACAATAAAAATACACAAATAGCAACAGAAACACAATCGGGTGCTGCTAGACCTATCAAAGCGTGTGTGCATGCACTTGCGCTCCCCCAAAAGAGGGTTTATTTCTGCACAAGTTAGGCAAAAGAAATTTTTAAAATAAATTTTATGCATTTGAACAGTCTAAACTAATTAATTAGAACAAAAACCTCTCTATAGACAAGCTCAGGTCCTAACAAACTGTGAACTACGACCTGTGCATGCGGTAGGGTTTGAGCAGCGCGACTTGCCTTCCTTTGTTGGATTTAAAGAGTGAGAAATCGAAATCTATTAATTTGTTTTTCTGAAATAATTTCAAATTTGGAATTTAATGGAGTTGATTTGATATTTATTTTCGCAAACTTGCAAAATTGCAAAGACCACCTGCCTATACACCCCGCCTACAAGGCGGTTTGTCCGAGTGGTTAAGGAGTTGGACTTGAAATCCAATGGGCTCTGCCCGCGCAGGTTCGAACCCTGCAGCCGTCGTTTCTCTGAAATAGAAAATGTTTAATTAAATGCTAATATTAAATTAAACAAATCTTTTCTTCTTTTCATTGCTGTTTTATTATTATTATTTTTATTATTATCCCTGTCATCCCTCACCCCCATAATATCCATCCCTTCTACTTTGATTTACTATATAATCCTTCAGCTGGCTATTCAATTATCTCTTTTTTATTGCTTTTCTTTGATTGTCGCCGTTATTTCTAATTTTTCTGTTGTAATCAGAAAGGACAGATTAGCACCCAAAGAGAGACAGCACAAACATTTGTTTCTGCTGCCGTTTACTTGTTATTTACTTAATTAATCAGGAAGAGCAGAATACCACCGAAAGAATTAAGTAAATAACAATTAAATACCCCTCTTCCTTTATCACCCTAATCAAATTCCCTCAACAAATACAAAAAGATTCTCCAGTATCTGAGGTGTCTGTACACCTCAGAGCACCCCACAACTTCGCTAAGAAAATAAAAACCGCAAAACCCCAAGCCACGTTCAAACATTTAAATGCAAAGGAGAGAGGAAGGAAGAAGAGAGTTTAGGGTTTGATAAGATTAAAACTTCTAGGGTTTAGGGTTTAGGGTTTACGAAGAATGCAAGGCATACAGCGAAATGCCCATCAGGTAGGGTTTAGGGTTTAGGGTTTTACCCCCTAAACCGTGAAACCCTTACACCCTTTGTAAACCCTAAACCCTAACGAGAAGGGTATACAAATCCCTCTCAAAGACAACTAAGTAAATGCAAGCGGCTGTCTTTGTTGTTATTCTTTTGTTTTTGTTTTTGCTTGTTGGTGTTGTATATATTTCTTATTAGACATCTTGGCTTATCTCGCTTTCTTTTTTCTTCATTTGTTTGCCTTCAGGTTCAGGAAGCGTTTTATTATTTTTATAAAAAGCATCAAAGAGAAGCTCTAGCTGTACAACAGCAGTTGCTGCTGCACTATCAGGTTTTGTTTCTTTTAACACAGAGAAGGAGGGCAAGAGATATAATTTTATTAAATTCATCAACTTAACAAACTGAACACCAAAGCTCTTCCCTGCTGAATGACCCCCGGTACGAAGATACTCCAGCAGCAGCAACGCCCCAATGCTGCTGCTGCTGCCTCTCGTGCTGCTGCCGCTGCTGCCGCCGCTGCCGCTGCTGCTGCTGCTGCTGCTGCTGCTGATGGTACACACCAAATTCACAAAACGAGAACCCCAACGCCACACCTCATCCACCTCTGCACACGCAACATACACCCTAAACCCTAAACCCTAAACCCTAAACCCTAAACCCTAAGACATCAATGCAGATGCAGCATATATTACCCAAACCCTAAACCCTCATACATCTCATCTATCTCTGCACTCTTATCTAGCTAGCTATCTAGCTAGCTAGTTAGCTAGATAGCTGTTTAGGTCCTTGGCTGATGCACACCACATTAGAAGCAGATAGCTAGCTAGATAGCTAGCTAAATAGACAGCTAGCCAGCTCTCCTTCTCGCTGAGTTTCTCCCCTGCCTAGCTGCTTATACAGCT